TCGTTTCCGCGGCGGACGGATCTCTACCGAGCACACCGGACCCGCAGGAGCTCGGTTCCGCCGAACTGGACCGCGACACGAGACAGCTCTTGCTGGACTTCTACCGCACGCGCACCGGAATGTGTCCGCGGGACCGGAAGCTGCATCACGCGCTACCGACGGTGACTCGCGTTGTCGCGGACGTTCTCGTGAAGCACGAGATCGCGTACAAAGGTAAGACTAGCGCATGCGCACTCGCTATCTCCCCAAACAAAGCTGCGCAGGGTTGCCAGGTGTTTGCAACCAAACTATCCCTCGGTAAACATCGGTTTTGGCGGGGTTCCCATGGTTCAGTTCGCGTTCCAGAGGCTAAATATCACGCTGTTCGGGTCGCTTCGACCAGCGGCTACAGTGTTGCAGTAGCGGAAGTCCGCGGGGAACCCCCAGAAATCTGCAACAATGTAGCTCTGTTTCACTTTGAACTCGGATGAGACGTGTGACGTCAATGTAGTAATAGTCCACAATTATATTCAAACTATCCGGTACTTCTGGCTTTTTGTGTGTGTGTGTGTGTGTGTGTGTGTGTAACGTTAATATTACACGTTTTCCTGGAATACATCACGTGTTCGTATTTTATTTTTTTACTCTAGTTTTAACATTTATAGTGTTTTTCTGCAGTCATTTTGAATGTAAATCTGTTTTTCGGTGGAGGGTAAATTTTTTTTATTTTTTTTTTACATTTGTTTTAATTTGCATCGCGTCAAAGCGCAGTTCGTGATGGCGGTCTGGGAGGTTTATCAGCGCTTGGGTCAGATACTCGGAAACAGCGCCTGGGAGAGAAGCTGTGGGTGGAACTGTAGATACACGACTCTGTGCGCAGATATAGAAACGCGCAAGACGTGACCGCGGTCTAATGTTAAATCGGGTTGTTTTAGTACACTCGCTTGCGAAATTCTATTCACAGGTTCAAATTTGAGAGTTTTCGTAAGTTATTCTTCACACGATTAAACTACATTAGAACACAACAAAAAGCGTTCACCCGGAGTTCACAATCTAGAAGAATCGTTGTTTTATGAGACCGTGTTGTATCTCAAGTCTGCTTTATTGTCAATTCTTCCACATGTACAGCACACACACACAGAGAATTGAAACTGCGTTACTCTCAGACCCTTGGTGCATACAGATAACATAAATACAGATTAAATACAACTGTACAAAAGGTCAAATGTAAAAAATATATATATAAAGCACAAGGCATATGGCAGATAGATTCTGATCTGATCAGCAACTTCTCATTAATGAGTGAATGTGGGGAAAAATAGCACGGTTTTGAATGTTACCGTGTTATTACTGCATGCACCCCTTTTTATTATTTAAAAAAAAAAATTGCGAAATGAGTATTACATTTCTAAACTAAAATTAAAACCGTAAAAATGGTTTTAATATACTTGAAATAAACCTTAAGTACTACAATTTATGAAAGCAAATAAAAATTAACAGTATAGACATAAGTGACAAGAATACACGGCAAAATTACTAAATCTCTCTCTATATATAGTGCATTTTATATAATAAAAGCTATAATTATCTCAGTGATACTGAAATAACACTGGTTTGAAGTATATGATGTGGGTGGAGTTGCTGATGTTAAGTGTCTTCTGCAGGAATGCTGCAGCGTCTGCAGCTGGAATCTCAAGCGGACGACATGAGCTTCATCGGCTGTATAGCAGAGACTATGTTCAACGACAACACCACCAACTGGGGCCGGATCGTGAGTCTGGTGGCCTTCGGGGCCGTGGTGTGCTCGCGTCTGAAAGAGCTGCAGAGGGAGCGGTGCGTGGAGACGGTGGCCCAGCAGATCTCCTCCTATCTGATCTCCGATCAGCACGACTGGCTGCTCAACAACAAGGGCTGGGTGAGTGACGCCAGAGGAAAATCTCACTCGCACTCTAATGGGAACAGCTTGTGTTTCCGTCACTGCATAATTCAGAGCTGTTCTCATGTGTGTGTGTGTGTGATCTCGCTCTCTCTCTCACACACACACACACACACACACACACACACACACACACACACACACAACGTTCAGTCCATTCAACAAACTCAACCCCAGGAGCTCATGTATCAGACAGACCTCCATTAAACTCACACGCATCATTAACCCCAATAATGCATTCGAAGAATCATTATTTTATAAAGCAATAAATAAAAAATACACTCAGTTTGACCCGCATTATATGGAGCACCATTAGTGTCAAAAATACTTGTGGAATTGTTTTTGCAGTTATTGTGTAACACTTTTTTTTTTTCTTTCTTTTCCTTAACATCTCACACTTTTGGACTGAATTGTCGATGAACAGGAATATGCACATCTATTAAAGAACCACTGCAGAATAAAAAAAGTAATTAAAAAAAAAGTAACTTTTTCATCTGAAAGTGAAAGCTTATGCAAGTGAAATGGAGGGAGGGGGGTTTTGTTAAACTTTGCATTTTAGTCATTTAGCAGATGACTTGCAAATGAGGGCGTGTGTGTGTGTATATATACACACATATACATATACATGCATACACGCATATGAATTACCGGTATTGGAATGAATGGAATTTCATAATTCCTTAAACTTATAACTCCAGATTGCTCAAAAACAGTACAAATTGATCAATCTTAAATTTATTTCTGACAAACTAAATAAATTGCTTTCATTCACTTTCAGATGGAAAGTGATCGAATATTTTTTTTTTTATTCTGCAGTGGTTCATCAATGGACACGCACATTCATGCTTATCGACGAAATTCAGTCCTAAAAGTGTGAGATGTTAGAAAAATATTAAATATAGGCCTATTTACAAAAGTTGAGACCTTAATATAACTTCATAGCTCATTTTACAAAGTATTTTGACACTAATGGTGCTCCATATAAATGCAGGCCAAAATGAACCAAACGCAAAAAACCTGTAATATCTCTTTAAAAATTAATTGTAAAAAGTGGGTCTTAAAGCATTCAGAAAGTTTTGAATGTGTTTTGAGGGCTAATGTGTGTGTGTGTCTGCAGCATGGATTCGTGGAGTTTTTCCGCGTGGAGGATGTGGAGTCTGTGATTCGTAATGCTTTGATGGCTGTGGTGGGATGCGCTGGGATCGGCGCCGGTCTCGCTTTCCTGATCCGGTGAAACTCCACTACCGTATCGCTCTTGTGACTGACGCTGAAGCACTCAGAAGCATGTCGTCTGGAGTCAAACTCCTGCTGTGCTCCGCTGGACTTGGCTTTAAGCCCCACATGCGCTCACCATCCCAGCATGCACGGCACAAAGATTGGGCTCGCCGTGAGCCAGTGAATAGCAAGATTTTTATTTTCTCTATATCTATTTTTTCTAATAAAAAGCATTCAGAAATGCATATGTGGTGCTTGCATCATTTGATTTCATTGCTTCACTTTGCAAATGTGTGTATATATATATCTCTCTCGATGAAACGTAGTGTTAATGTGGCTTTTGGTGTTCAGCAGCTCCTGAGTTCCTGATAATGAATCTGGTTTTGTTCAGATTGACCTTTAGGCAAAGAGAAGCGAGACGGACCTCATGTCAGAGTCTCTCGTCAACTGGAAAGTGAAAACTTTTCTAACACTCCGCCCAAAAATTCCAGTGCCACAAAGACTTTCACTTTTCACTTTTCATTTCAGTATGTATTGTAGGCAATGAAACTGACTTCTCAAACTTTAACTGCACACTGGAATTGATTGTCCAACTATAATAGGAAGTTGCATCTTTTAAATGGCAGTATGATCCTAAATGCAAGGTTTTTATTTGCAAAATCAGCTTTTTAAATTTTATTTTTAAATCTGAAATATCAAGTAGTCAACTACGTGTACTTTGAGTGAAATTAAATCAAAAGCTGCGATTGGTTTAAAAACCTGAATGTTTAATCATTCTAACAAGTAAATGTGGTTCAGTTTCTTTTCATTTTTAGTACATGCATTTGTGCAAATAAAGCCAATATGGATTTTATTTTGTAAGTTTGTGAAGGTGTTTTATATGGACTTCAAAAGAATAGTTTATCCATTGCTCTGCAGTGAATGGGTGCCGTCAGAATGAGTCCAAACAGTTGATTAAAAACATCACAATAATCCACAGCACTCCAGTCCATCAGTGAACATCTGGAGAAGACAAAAGCTGAAACTAATCCAGCATTAAGACCTTTTTAACTCAAATACATAGTCTATAATCCCTAACTCTTCCTCCAGTGAAAAAGTGCATCTGCTGTTGTCTCTCACATCAGAATCCAGCCACATATGTGTTTAGAGCGGTTTAAACGCTGCTTGATCTGTGCAGATTTCTCTCCTGATTCACACCAGAACACTTTTTTTCCACTGGAGGAAGAGTTATGGATTATGGACTTGTATTTGAGTTAAAAACATCTTAATGCTGGATTAGTGTCAGCTTTTGTCTTCTCCAGATGTTC